TACAGCATGTGTTATTCTCAGTTGGTCACCCATCTTGGTACTGACTGGGCTCAACATTGCTTAACTTCAGTGATTGTACAGGAACCAGTGTTTGGATAACAGCTCAGAATTGTTAATCGAAGACTCCAGTTCCTATTCCCAATAGGTTCGTTATATTCATTTACATGCTAATACCCTTGGGTAAGGTATGAATTCACCTCTACTCCCCCACTTGCTATGGGTAATTTGTAAGATTTGTATCACTAAACCATTTTGCTTTTAAAAAAAAAAAAAAAAATTCTTGAAATCAAAAAATATTTTCTGGCTTTAAATAACCTGCAATGGGTTGATAAGCTTTAGAAAACAAATCAATCAAAATATTGATAATAACTTGTCACATTTTATGATGCAAACACAGTGAAAAGAATTTTTTTTATTTCTAAATCAATCCAAAAGATATTGGCTACAGAAAAGTATACATTTAGTATAAAAACATCCTATATACCCAAATGAATTACTATTTTATTATTTTGCATATTAATATAGACCCTTAATATTCTTTACATTTAATCAGTCATTTGTTCATTGATTTCTTTGTAATTTACTACTGTTTTGAGTTTAATACTATTTGCAGTAGCTTTTTGTTGTTTCCCAGACATCTTCTTTGCTTGAATATTGTTTGTCTTTTCCATATTTAATACTTATGCTTTTAATGAGAGATTACAAGTTTTTCTATTGGAGTAATATCTGGAGAAACTTCATGGCGTTCTATTAATTTTGTATCTTTGAACCCTTCTGTGGCAAGGTGGGCAATAGGCAGCATGGAGTGAGTAGCCATGGTCAAATGCAAAATAAATAACAAAACTCTCCAACAAACAGAATTGGTAAAGCTTGCTAAAAAAAGAATGGGGTAAAAAACCAATATAAAACAAGAAAGCAATACATGTAAGGCAACAATATATTTAACAGTAACAAAGCAAAGCAACAGTAATATGACAAAAAGTTCACAAATTAAGAATTGGGGTTGACACACAAAGAGCAAGTTTGGACAAGATAATGTTCAAGACAAGACAGATTGAGAGTGAGTCAGATGAAATCGAGAACTGGCCTTTTTTATTGGGTAAGAAAAGTTTGCTGAAGAGATTAGGTTTATAATACCCAGAAATTCATACACAAGAACACATGGCACAGTGGATAAAGGCGTTGGTTAGATCCAGTGACAGGACCCAAAGAGTGTGAGTTCAATACTCGGTTAAGGCAGTGGAGAACCTTCAGAGGGAAATTAGCAGGAGATAACTGATAACTGACATCCATCAAAACATGGCACGTGGAACTAGAACAGTCTACCCCAGTGAGCGAAATAAAGGGTTCAGTTCGAAATTCCAACCACCTGAAGAAGGCCGGAGCGTACAACGGCTGAAACGTTGTGATAAATATGGCGACAAAGATGAGGACAATAATGTAAGAAAAGTTCTAGCATGCATTTGTGTACTTCTGCCTATAAATTAGGGAGGGACAAGTATTTTGCAGTCAATCCTCCCTGATCAGAATCAATAGTCAGCTTTACAGAATGGGAAGAAGAATTATCTTTCATAAATATACACTTTAGCATAAAGCTTATGGTTGTCATCTGTACTGCTTAAAAGAAAATAAAAAAAAAATCTTTCCCAAGAACATCAATTTTGAAGGGATCTATAATTTTACTATGTATTACACTAGTTCATTACCTCCCTGCTGTCTTCTCAGTTGGGTTGCTTACGATTTCCATGTAAGATGCAACCTCTGACCCAGTCAAGTATTTTGTCCATCCAATGTAGCTTTATATTCATCACTAAAAAATGAATCAGTTTTCATGTATTTCTTTGTATTTCTTAAATGTTTCTCATTAGAAATAGTGATTTGGTCTTTAGCCAATGTTTTTAATATTCTGCATCTTTTCATGTTTTTAATATTCTGCATCTTTTCTCTCTATTTACATTCATAACAAGTTTCTTCAAATATTTTCTTGCTGATCAAGCCATTTTCCTTGCTTCTACCATTTCCATTTGGTTTCAAATCTCTTTCTGTGACATTCTTAAAAACATTATTCTCTTTATCTTGTCAATGTCTTTGTTGTTTGTTCTATACTCTGTTCAATCTTTTCACCATTTCCCAAGTTCCTTCACGACTTCTTTTTGTGTTACTTGTTCCGTCGTCCCCCTGTTTACCCAAACACTTCAAACTCCCTGGGTATGACGATAAACTACATCTGCGTCCTGGGTATGACAGTAAACTACATCCACATCCTGGGTATGGCGATAAACTACATCCAACAGCAAGGCCTCAGATAATGTTTTCTGAAAAATAATGTTGCCAGCTATACGTTTTTGAAACAATAATGTTGCCAGCTATACGTTTTTGAAACAATAATGTTGCCAGCTATACGTTTTTGAAACAATAATGTTGCCAGCTATAAGTTTTTGAAACAATAATATTGCCAGCTGTACGTTTTTGAAACCATAATGTTGCCAGCTATATGTTTTTGACTTAAAAAAAAATCAAAATCATTTTCGGCATAAAGTGACCACTAAGGTTGAGATGCCGTTAAAAAAAGCAATCAACAATCAAATGTAAATTCTTGACTTAAACAAAAAATACTTAGGATTATTTTGCAGTGTGCAAGCAAATAAGCTCTAGCTTGCTAAAAATGTTCCATACAAAATAGGCATTTAAAATTCATATATTTGGCATATATATATATATATATATATATATATATATATATATATATATATATAAACTGGATTTGGCATTAAATAACCCACAGTGGTTGATATGCCATAAAACCCAAACAAACAAACAAAATACTTCAAGTATATTTTAATTGCTACTTTCCTCTACTTTCCTTTGGATTCATCCTTCTGTGTTAAATTCTTCAATGAGACATTTGGTGTCTCCTGTGATGTCATCTCCTTTTAAACTGTGGCCAGTTGTTTTTCAAAAACAGAAACTCTGTATTCCACTGGCTACATAGACACACCTTACTGCACATTCATACCTGAATTACACAAGCTTACAAAATAAAGTGAGGCTTTGTGTAGGAATGCATTTTTCCTCAAGCGCAATTTCATCTCCTTGGAAGTGGGACAGAACAAATCTTTAATGACCCTCCTCTTCATAGGTAAAATATATGTACTTATGTAAAGATAAAATTAAAAAATAATGAAGTAATCTAACAATATATTGAAGTTGAATTAGAATGTGAGGCAACATGAAAGACAAGTTAAATGCTAATATTTTTTGTGGTACTAAGATATTTCTTCAGGTATTTATTCTTAGCTTCTGAATTATTTACTGGCTGAGATATATATATATATATATATATATATATATATATATATAATTTTGCATCAAGTAATTGTTCTAATTTACAATAAATGCCTGAAATGGCTAAGAAATGCTGAAAGCACTAGCAATTATCAGTCTATCTATCTTTGCCTATTCAAATTTCAAATCTATATTCTCACGTTCAAATCTTAAATCGACCTATCTTGCCTATTCAAATCTCAAGTCTGCCTGTCTTCACTCATTCAAATCTATTTTTGCCTGTTCAAATCTATCCATCTTTGCCTGTTCAAATCTATCCATTTTCATCAATTCAAAACTATCCATCTTCACCTGTTCAAATCTATCTAATCTTTTCATATATATCTATATTAATCTGTTTATATCTATCTATATATCTATCTTAATCTGATCCTAGCTGTCTTATTTTGTTTATCCATCTAAACGGTTTTTACCATAAATGAATACAATATGGGAACCAGTAATCAGGAGTGCCAGAGAAAAATTGCAATATGAGCCAACAAAAATTGCAATATGAGCGCTAATAAAACATGCAATGATAACAGCAAATATTGCAATATGAGCACTGGTAAAAAATGATGGCTGAAGATATTAGGTTTATAATACCCAGAAATTCATACACAGGACACATGGCACATTGGATAAAGGAGTTGGTTAGATCCAGTGACAGGACCCAAAGAGTGTGAGTTCAATACTTGGTTAAGGCAGTGTAGAACTTGGAGAGGGGAATTAATAGGAGATAACTGATAACTGACATCCATTAAACATAAACTAGAACAGTCTACTCCAGGGAAATAAAGGGTTCAGTTCAACATTCCAACCACCTGAAGAAGGCCAGAGCGTACAACGGCTGAAATATTGTGATAAATATGGTGACAAAGATGAGGACAATAGTCTGAATAATTAAATAGTGTTATCTGTTCATATCTATATATCGATCTTAATCTGATTCTAGCTGTTTTATTTTGTTTATCCATCTATAAGGTGTCTATAAGGTGACTGAATTTAAATCTGAAAATTTCACCGTATAATGTTTGATGTTGATCAATTTGTATCACTGAAATAAGTGCATTTTTATTATTAGGCTGCAGACTTTTCAATGCACACTACACACACACACACATCTGAATTTACTTTTTAGTTTTTGAAAACTTTCTAACTCCCCTGCTTATTCCAAACCCCCACTTTTATTCAAGACCCAAGCGTATGCCAGTTTCTATTCTATGTAATTATCTATCTCATTTTGTTTATATCTGTTTTTATTAGATTCTGTTCTATCTAAGTATCTATCACAATTTGTTTATATCTGTCTATTTATCTACATATTTGTCAGTCCCTCATCTATCTAATTATCTATCTCACTCTGTCTATATCTGTTCATAAAGTGTCTGTAGGCTGATTCAGTTATTAACTGAATTTTGATCTTAATTTTTCATCATATAGTATTTGATCTATATGATCAATTTTGATCATTGAAAGAAGTGCATTGGCAAAGAAGGCAAATTACATTGAAAAATAAATATTTATCATAGATAGTACTTTTTATTTTTAGGCTGCAGACATCTGTGTTATTCATTTTCAATTTATATATACGTTTTATTCATATATACATGTTTACACTTTGTGTTGTGAGTGAAGCCCAAATGTATATGCACTGATAGGATTTTGTTGAATTATAAGAATATAGGTTCCATTTGTACTTGTATATTTGTTCTGTTGAATAAATAACGTAAGTTTGTTTTGTTGATTTCATGTACTTATGAGAATATA